AAAGAATGGACAAATAAAAGAGCTAGTACCATGTGATTCCACAGAAGCAGAAGTGGCATTTTTAGAAAGTGGACAAATACAACAGTGTCCATGCAACAGAGGCCTAGCAAGATATAGATTGAAAAATGGGGGCTGGTTTTCCAATGACAGGCTTATTGGTCACCACACAAGAGTAGCTAAAACAGTGAATGGGAGTGGGGAGTTTGAAATGGAAAGTAGAGACAGAAGTGTCTGACCACAACTTGGGTAGGATTAACTTTGAATAGAGAGAGGGTCTCCTCCCTTTTGGCGGCGTTAAGGATGTGTGTGCAGCTGGATAGTGGGGAGAGGTGGGAAGATCACTCCCGGGGGCCTCAGCCTGCTTAGCACCCTCAGGAGGACCTTTTGAGAGTAACAAGGGTCAGCTGGCAGGAAGATCATGACTCAAGTCATGTGAGTTGGTAGAATCATAAGCTAGAGGAGGGGGCTGGCCCAGGCTTTCCTGAAGGTGTTGAGGGCCTTGACGGGACTGAAAAGCTCGAGGTTTTTGTAGCACAGTAGTTCTCAACAGTGTACTCCTTAGACCCCTGAGGTTCCCGGGATCCTGTCAGGGTGTCCATGAGGTTGAAGCTTTGTTTGTGGTACCACTGAGGTGTTTGTTACACTCTTCTCTGTGCTGCCATTTCCTCTCGTGGTGCACAAACCACGGTGAGCAAGGCTGCCAGCACCTCAGTCCAGTCCAGGGCAGGGCAGTGGCACCAGAACGGTCCTTGAGCTCTGCACTGCCACACCCTTACAGCTAAAAACCAAACCAGTAAAAAGTGTTCACTCCATGAAATCTATCCTTAACACATGTCTTTATGATGTTCTGTGTGACAAAATGAGAAATACACTTAGAGCATTTCTGCTACATACTAAATGCAGTAGTTTTCTTAGGAAAACCACTGTGAAGTTGAACTGTGAGCTGAATGAACTGCTTTTTTTTTTTTTTTTAGACAGAGTCTCACTTTGTTGCCCAGGCTAGAGTGAGTGCCGTGGCGTCAGCCTAGCTCACAGCAACCTCCAACTCCTGGGCTCAGGTAATCCTCCTGCCTCAGCCTCCCAAGTAGCTGGAACTACAGGCATTCACCACCATGCCCGGCTAATTTTTTGTATATATATTAGTTGGCCAATTAATTTCTTTCTATTTATAGTAGAGACGAGGTCTCACTCTTGCTCAGGCTGGTTTCGAACTCCTGACCTCGAGCAATCCGCCCGCCTCGGCCTCCCAGAGAGCTAGGATTACAGGCGTGAGCCACCGCGCCCGGCCTGAATGAACTGCTTTTAAAATTGATCTTCAGTAATTCTTAAGAGCATAAAAAGGTTCTGAGTTCAGAAAGTTTGAGAAGCATTGTCACAGTGGCACCCTTTGGTCCTTCCCTCTGTCCCTGCTCAGAAACTTGAGTTTAGGATGGAAGTGACAGGTTGCAGCATTAATCCAGGATCAGAATTTTGCTGGCCCAGTGAGACCAACCTGAAGAGGCGCTGTGGAAAGCCCGTGAGGTGGCCCCAGAGTTCGGCAGGACCGGAGGGAAAAGGCTAATGGATTAGAGGAAAGGATGAGGTCAGGTTGCTGTGTACTCTGAAGTTACAGCCAAGGTGTGTCATTCTGCAGGGCACTGGGAAGAGGGATTGTGATCAGGTATAAACCTAGCCTCAAAGGACATCAGTCTTGTAGGGAAGATGAAACCTGTGTCTGAGTAAGCATCCTCCCAGGCAGCCGTGCTACTGGTGGGTTGCTGCATGGCAGTGGGCAGGGAGGCTGGGGACCCTGACTGTGGGACCAGCACCTGCCAGCTGCTTCCCATTTCTCTCCTTTTCTCCTTCTGTGGCTAAAATAATGCAGAAATAGCACTTACAGTAAAAGGAGGCCCAGCTATTTTTCAAGTAACCCCCCCCCCCAAATAAAAAGCTATCATCCTCCTAAACTTTGCTGATTCGTGGGCCCATAGACCCAGTGTCATGACTGCAGACACCTTTCCTGCTGCCCAGACTCTGCTGCAATCAAGACCAAACCTGTCTAGATTCTCTACTCCAAAAAGTTTTCTAAAGTGAATGCCGTGATTCAGTAACTTCCTAAAGTACACTTGTGCATGTTAAAAAGATTATAGGCGGGCACAGTGGCTCATGCCTGTAATCCTAGCACTCTGGGAGGCCAAGGTAGGGGATCGCTTGAGCTCAGGAGCTCAAGACCATCCTGAGCAAGAGCAAGACCCCATCTCTACTAAAAATAGAAAAATTAGGCAGTCGTCATAGCTCATGCCTATAGTCCCAGCTACTCAGGAGACTGAGACAGGAGGATCGCTTAAGTTTGAGGATACAGTGAGCTATGACAACACTACTTGCACTGTCTCAAAAGTTCAAGCCGGGCGCGGTGGCTCACGCCTGTAATCCTAGCACTCTGGGAGGCTGAGGCGGGTGGATTGCTCGAGGTCAGGAGTTCGAAACCAGCCTGAGCAAGAGCGAGACCCCGTCTCTACTATAAATAGAAAGAAATTAATTGGCCAACTAATACATATATATAAAATTAGCCGGGCATGGTGGCGCATGCCTGTAGTCCCAGCTACTCGGGAGGCTGAGGCAGCAGGATTGCTTGAGCCCAGGAGTTTGAGGTTGCTGTGAGCGAGGCTGACGCCACGGCACTCACTTTAGCCTGGGCAACAAGCGAGACTCTGTCTCAAAAAAAAAAAAAAAAAAAGTTCAGAGACAAAAATATAAATTTGAAGTGTATTATTTGTAGAAATTCATTATCTGTGCTTTTTTTAAAATATATGTATTGGATATGAGAAAAGTTCTTCCTTATATGGAATTTCATTGTGTCCAACATGTGGTTTATCACATTTTATTATCTCCTATTGTCTTGAAGATTGGGGGTTGGTTCCTGAGATGTCATGAAACAATGGAAGTCAAAAGTAGGACCAGGCCGGGTGTGGTGGCTCACGCCTATAATCCTAGCTCTCTGGGAGGCTGAGGCGGGTGGATTGCTCAAGGTTAAGAGTTCGAAACCAGCCTGAGCAAGAGCGAAACCCCCGTCTCTACTATAAATAGAAAGAAATTAATTGGCCAACTAACATATATATATATAAAATTAGCCAGGCATGGTGGCGCATGCCTGTAGTCCCAGCTACTCGGGAGGCTGAGGCTACAGGATCGCTTGAGCCCAGGAGTTTGAGGTTGCTGTGAGCTAGGCTGACGCCACGGCACTCACTCTAGCCTGGGCAACAAGCGAGACTCTGTCTCAAAAAAAAAAAAAAAATAGGACCAGAACTGAGCGAGCACGCACATGTGAGCACACATTCACATATGCGCACATCCTTTCAGTGCCTTCAGGGAGCAGGGTGCCTCCCACTCCACCTAACACCCAAGCAGTTGCTTCAGAAAGTTTACTAGCCTGCTCTCAAGGGTTCAGCAACTATTTTAGTGAGTAAATAAATGATAAAAAATTATTTTGCAGATGAATGAGGTTGATGTTGGTACCTGCAAATAACCCAATAAGAAATGATCATTGTAGGCCAGGCGCAGTGGCTCACACTTGTAATCCCAGCATTTTGGGAGGCCAAGGCTAGAGTATTACTTGAGGCCAAGAATTTGAGACCAGCCTGGGCAACATAGCAAGACCCCATCTCCACAAAAAATAGAAAAATTAGCCAGGAGTGGTGGCATATGCCTGTAGTCTCAGCTGCATGGTAGGCTGAGGCAGGAGGATTGCTTGAACCTAGAAGTTTGAGGTTGCTGTGAGCTATGATGGTGCCACTGCTCTCTAGCTGAGACAATAAAGTGAGAACCCTATCTCTTACAAACAAAAAATCATTGTTAGGGAAAAAAAACATTTTTTTTTGTTTTAGTGTCAGTACATTCTCTGAAAATTTGTATTCTTTATATTGATTGGCTAGTAGTTTTTTCAGACTTGCAATAGGTTGTTAGACTTGTTCCTTGGAGCCTTGGATTTTTTAGGGGTGCCTCAGGGGCTATGAGCTAGGGACCTAAGGGAGGATAAGGTAGCTGCTTTCTTACCTATTTCCATATCTTGAGGCTCCTTCTGAGATTTAATTTAAAGAAAGGGCCTGCTACTAAAATAGAAATCACTAGTCTGAGCATCATTAAATAAAAGGAGACATAAAATATTTTTAAAAGGAGCCCCTTTGCTACCTCTTTACTAGAAGAATAATGTATTCTCTAGCATGTGTTCTTTCTCATTGACACCTACTCCTGCTACTAAATACAGGAAGTATTTCACATTTCCCTTAACCCTTAAGCCAGGCTCTCCAGCCATCTTCATGGCTTGGTGTGGTACCTGGGCCTTAGCCACAGAGGCCAGCAAGTAAGCTGCTCGTTGTTGCCCCTCAACCCCACTTCCATTGATCCTGCTTGCTCCTACTGCACTCTAGACATGAAAGAACTGCTCAGCTGTTGACTACTGGCCAGGTCAAGAGAGCACTTACATTTGGGCCTTGCAGAAGGGACCCCAAGCTACCGAATAGGCTGGGGGGCTGGGAGTCACACATGACACTCAGCCAAGATCTGGAAGGGAGAAGGCTTTGCGCCTGTGACCTTGGAGGTCTTTTCTGTGTGTCGAGAGACAAATACGCTATTACAAAATAACTCTGGAGTTGATCTGAGAGAAGTACATACATAAAACCTGTACTTTTGATACCTGCAGAGCACAGTAGTGATTTAGGAAAAGTCCAGGTCTTGTAGGCAGACCTGGGTTTGAAACCTGGTCTTGTACTTTTTGCCTTTGGCTGGTCACTCTGCCTGTCTGAGTGTTAGCGTCTGCGACTGTCAGGTGGTCAGTACCTATGTCCACACAGCTACAGGAGGCCTGGAGGTGTAATAGGCACCCCAGGTGCCGGCTGCTCGCTCTCCCCATGGTGATGTTTAACATGACTGTTTCGTGGGTCAGTTTACTTATACAGGAAATGGAAAGTATTTTAGTGACTGCTACCTCTGCTCTCACCACTGCAAAACCGTTCTCTTTACAGCTCTGGACTTACTGGACAAAATGTTGACGTTCAACCCTCACAAGAGGATTGAAGTGGAACAGGCTCTGGCCCACCCATATCTGGAGCAGTATTATGATCCAAGTGATGAGGTAAGAGCCTGTGCTTCTGGCCACCACTTCAGGGTTGTGGGTCAGCTCACATCAGGCCAATTCTGTCCTGCTGAGACTGTCCTGAGAGGTACAATGTGCTATCCTTGGTCCTCCCAACATTCCCACCTCCTCTGCCTTGAGGATGAGTGCTGTGGGGCACAGCATGGAACCCTGTCTCCCAAACCTCTTCTGTTCATCTCAGAAGACTTCCTCCAGGCCCCTTGCAGCAGGCGAGGGCTGGGGAAATGTGTGGATAAAGGGGAACAGCTGCACTGTGTGGAGCATAGAGAGGGCAGGGTCCGAGGCTGGAGACCATTGTCATGGTCTGTGGCAGGAAGAGACACCTCAACCAGTGTGCCAGCACTGAGGGTGGAGAGGAGGCAGGCAGCCTGCTGGCGGGGCCAGCTCACAAAGTGAGGAGGAGAGGCCAGCCTGGACGGTTCCCACCATGGCTTGGCGACTCCATGTCTGGTGTGCCATTCTCCCTGGAGACAGGGACATAAGAGCCTGTTGTGATGAGAAACTGTGAGGCCAGCAGTGGGTGTGGCTGGGCGTGCAAATAAAAGACACAGCGTGTTATGTTCTCTCCAAGACAGGCCTATTGCCGCGGTTCTCTCATTCCTCTTTGGGCTCATTTTTAACTTTATTCTTGTGAGGATAAGAGAGAAAAATGCAGTATGAACTAAAATTTCGTGTTGTTCTAGATGAGGCTCATATGCATAGAGAATAAAGCCTTCAAACTCCTATTTTTAAAGGGGAGAGAAGTTAATGGGATATGTTAAAATTAAGGGGGGAAATGGAAAAGGCAGGGAAAAACTACCAAAGCTAAAAACTAATACAGAGAAAGAGGATAGAAGTCACAAAGAGGAGCTATTTATTATTAATCAGCTTCCCCTGCCACATCTGTCTAAAAACAAATGAGACAGCTTTTAGAAATACCTGTAACCTAGTCAGTAACAGAACAAATCAGACAGAGTACAGGTTCGGGGCTCTTCTTAGCCTTATGACCTGGAGATTTCCTAAGTCTCCATGTCCTGATCAGCAAGTTGTGTTGTGGATGGTGTGCGCTGGCCACCCCATGTGGTCCCACATGCAGAGCTGCCCTTCAAGCAGCCTACTTACTCTTTTGTGGACATGAATCCTTTTCCCTCTTTCACATGCCCGAAGCTTAGTGAGGAGTTTGGTATCTGTGCTTCCTCCCCCAAAGGCTCGTGTAGTATAACACGGTCTGGAGGCCTAGGCGTCTGCTGATTGACAGCTGGTATCAATCATTGGCTCAGTTCTATAACATTGCATTAGCTTGTGGGCATTTAAAAATCAAAATAGTATAAATTGGTTGATTAATATGATTGAGTGTGAATAGGAGTTCTTTGATGCAAATAGACAGTTTATGTTTTACTTAAATAACTTTCTGATTATTCATAGAGTGTTATAAAAATAAAATTGAAACTCAAAGAAAAATATAAGAAAAAATCACTCTTTAATCTCATTATAGTTATTATTATTAAAATTTTGGAGTATTTCCTTCCCAATCTTACATTTCTATATCTAAATTTAAAAAATAAAGCAGGGTTCATTCCCTTTGTTTAACACAAACATGGGCATTTTCCCATGGTATTAGTCTTCCTTGAAGCTTCATTTTTAATACCTCTATAATATTTCTTCATATAAAGATTCTATAATCAGATGCATTTATTTTAGTGTGTTAGGTTTTGTTTATATAAACATACCACCACTAACACCCTGCAGCAGCATGTTTCTGTTATTTCAACTTTCAGTGCCTTAAAACATTTGAAAATAATCCCAGGATCTGTGATAAGTTCAGAAGAACACTTAAAACAGATTGAGATGCTCCCAGACCATTTACATGCTTATGCGAAGGGTGCTTTCAGGAGTGTGGGCACAATAGTGTGGATGTGTATCAGAGCTCTCAGTTTTTATGAGGCATCATTCTTGTATTAATTTCAGAATCTGAGCCATAGTCATTTTTATGAATCTGTAAATTACTTCTTTAGCCATAACAACTTTTGACTATTAAATGTTTCTTGTTTTTTTTTAAAGCCCATTGCTGAAGCACCATTCAAGTTTGACATGGAATTGGATGACTTGCCTAAGGAAAAGCTCAAAGAACTCATTTTTGAAGAGACTGCTAGATTCCAACCAGGATACAGATCTTAAATTTGTCAGGTACTTTAAGTATGCAATTAACCCTAGCAAGGGAGAGACAATATAAATGTTATTAAAAAGGAAAAAAATTCAATGTATTCCTCTGTAGTTACATATAGTCATCCCTCTGTATCCATGAGGGATTGGTACCAGGACCTCCCTCCCTAAGAATACCAAAATCCATGGATGCTGAAGTCCCTTATATAAAATGGCATACTGTTGGCATGTATCCTATGCACATCCTCCATTGTACTTTAAATTGTCTCTAGATCACATACAATACCTAATGCAGTATCTGCATGTTATTTCATTCAGGTGGATTCACTATAGTACTTTGCACACAGCAAAATCAAATTTTGCTTTTTGGAACTTTGTGGAATTTTTTTTTAATATTTTTGATCCATGGTTTGTTGAATGCACAAATATTGGGGGGGCAAGCTATATAGCTTTTACACTGATTGCTTCATGAGTCAAGAAAATTAGACTTTGTCTTTCACCACTGTTGAAGAGATACACTTGGAATTCTTTAATTTCTGGCAGTTTACAACGACATGAAGTTGATATGAAATTAAAGTGGTGGTTTTTAGAATAATAGCTACAGTGAGATTAGGAAGACAGTGAGCATGAGAGGAAAACCACAGAAGACTGTGCAAAGGAAAGGAAAGATAGGAGATACAGCCACAGGAAGAGGAAAGAAAGATAGATGCATAGATGTGCCAACCAAAACACAGCTTCTCATAGCTAGTGTTTTAGAAGAATTCATAGTACTGGTGTGTGTATGAGGCGGTGTTGAACTCTCATGCTTGCTAGGTAGTGTGGGTGCCAGGGCGCACCGCTCTCCCGGGAGAGGAGCCGCGTCCTGGGCAGAGGAGTAGCTAGCTGCTCAGAGTGGCAGTCTGATCTCTGGCACTCCCCTTGGACTTTAAAACATTGTGTTCCTCAAGATAAGTCTGTTATTTTATATTGTTTTCCTGGCTCCTTTTGTTTTTTTTTTGTTTTTTGTTTTTTGTTTTTTTTTTGTTTTTGAGACAGAGTCTCACTTTGTTGTCCAGGCTAGAGTGAGTGCCATGGCGTCAGCCTGGCTCACAGCAACCTCAAACTCCTGGGCTCAGTGATCCTACTGCCTCAGCCTCCCGAGTAGCTGGGACTACAGGCATGCGCCACCATGCCCGGCTAATTTTTTTGTATATATATTTTTAGTTGGTCAATTAATTTATTTCTATTTTTGGTAGAGACGGGGTCTCGCTCAGGCTGGTTTCGAACTCCTGACCTTGAGCAATCCGCCCGCCTCGGCCTCCCAAAGTGCTAGGATTACAGGCGTGAGCCACCATGCCCGGCCCGTTTTTTGTTTTTTTTGAGACAGTCTCGCTTGTTGCCCAGGCTAGAGTGAGTGCCGTGACGTCAGCCTAGCTCACAGCAACCTCAAACTCCTGGACTCAAGCAATCCTCCTGCCTCAGCCTCCCGAGTAGCTGGGACTACAGGCATGTGCCACCATGCCCGGCTAATTTTATATATATATATTAGTTGGCCAATTAATTTCTTTCTATTTATAGTAGAGGCGAGGTCTCGCTCTTGCTCAGGCTGGTTTCGAACTCCTGACCTCGAGCAATCCACCCGCCTTGACCTCCCAGAGTGCTAGGATTATAGGCGTGAGCCACCGCGCCCAGCCCCCAGCTCCTTTTTGAAAGGTATTTTCTTTAATTTAGAATTAAAAATAATTTAGAAAGTTACTTATATTCCTTTAGGAATCTCCCTCCTTTAGAAGTCCCTCCTTTCTTTACTCAAGGATAGTGAATGTGATTATTTGGGAGCTGCTTGTTCGTATTCTAGATTGTTCAGCTTTTGGTTGTTATTCTTTCCTTGCTGCCTGTCCTGGGCAGTTTCTCAGTAGTGAGCATCTCTCTGGAAAGGGTTCCCTTCAGGACTACCCTCCTCTCATGGGAAGCAGAGCCACCGGTTAAATAAATCTAGTATCCGGTTAAATAAATCTAGTATTTTAGAGTCCTCTTGCCGGCCCATTCAAAAGCTCCTGGCAAGGACCTGGTTCTGCAACTGATGCTGCTTACAAGGGGGCCAAACTCTGTTCTCGGTTCAGCCTGGGAGTGTGGGCAAGCGCAGCTGGTGACGCCTCGTCAAGGAGCATAGGCTAGGCCAGCCCCTTGGGGATTCACATGGCCTTCACAGAGGCTGCGTGAGCTAGGGGTGGGGGCCCATGCGGCAAAATTGGTAGATTCAAAAAAAATAAGTGTACAAAAAAAGAAAATGCAAATCTTGATTTTAGAAGATGTATGGCAAGAGGAGAGAGAACAGGGCTTGTGTTAGAACTATAGAAATGAGCAGTGAGCAAAGAATTGTGAGTCATAGCAAAAGCAGTTGCTGGGGAGATGCTTTGGAGAGGACCATGTTGCAGTTTCCAGGCTCCCCAGCCCCCTACAAAGAACAGTAGACATGAGCCGAGAACAGACGTGGCCAGCACAGTCTACAAGAAGAGAGTTCTGAAAGGCCAGCAGAGCTGTGAAGCAGTGAGGGATACACTAATAGTTTGGGAGGTGGACAATGTTTTCAGAAGAAATCTGACATCAAGTCGAAGGGGTTGAAATGAGGGGAGACTGGGTAGGAGATCAGCTAAAAACAAACCTATGCTCTTCCATACCAGAGGGGCTGTGGCCTTGCACTAGGGCTGTGGTGGTGAGAAGCATTGACTTCAAGAGAATGGAGGAAAGGCAAAGTCTGAAAGACCACACTTTCTAAACCTAGCACCTGGCGTGGGGAGGGCTGCCAGCACAGTTAAGTCCCCGCTCAGCCTCCTGTTGACACTGGACACAGCCTGCAAGACAAATTCAAAGCGCAGTGTTGAGGAGACAGACTTAGAGGATGTGAGGTGGGCCGTTACATGCAGCCCTGCACGTGTGTTTCACTGAGGAAGAAGCCTGGTGTTAGCAGGGGGACTGAGGCGCAGAGTTGGCTTCCTCTCCTGTCATTCACACATGTGTGACCCCTGTTGAAGAAGGGTCTGTGTTCAGTGATTTGCATAATCGCTTACTCACAGAAAATCGGCCCCAGGATCCAGCCATTTTCATACCTGACTCCCTGCCACGCTTCCTTCATGAGGCTCCTGGATACACTCTCCAGTGTCTCTGTGCAGGGTCAGGTCTGTCTGGTCAGCCCACTGCCATGTTATGAGTAAGTCACATGCAGCCATGCGTGTGCTCTCGGACTATGACACGGACCGTCTGGCTGCTTTTGCTTTCCAGCAGCAGAGTGGGCTAGTCCTGACAGACACAGATGGCCTGCAAGGCCCAAGAGGTTCACTCTCTGGCCCTTTACAGAGCAAGTTTGCTGACCACCAGCCTAAAAGATGGAGCGGAGCAACTTCTGTGGCTTTTCCTGCTTCACAGTTCCTTGCACAGGCCATTTTCCTTAAGCCAGGCAGCGGCTTAACGGTTGTTTCCCTGCAGCCTCCCTTGCCGCAGTCCTGGCACATGACCTGCATAGCTCCTGCTAGGTGCTGAGTTAGACACTAAGGCTGAGCAGAACAAACAAGACCTAACTGTGGCCTCCAAGGAGCCCATGTAGTGGGGGAGAAAAACAGACAGACAGAACAGTTGCTTACATTTTTAGTATAAAAGAGCATGGGGTTGACATAATAATCAGTTTTTCAGCATTCTTTGAATCAGCATTGAGCATTTCCCAGTGCCAGGTGGGGGAAAATGGACTTTGTGCTCCATTAGCTTGGTAGCAGGAAGCAGGCAAACAGCAGGAATGTGGATAGTATGTGAATGCCATGCCAGAGCACAGCACAGCTGGCCCCAGAGAGTAAGACACAGCATCAAAGCATTATGGCTCCAGCTGACTCCTGACAGCCAGGGGCTCTTTGCTGGTGGCAGAGGGAGCAGCCATGCAGAACCAGGAAGGCAGGTGTCGCATGAGTGGGATAGGGAGTTGGGTAGGAAGAGGCCACAGAGACAGAGGGAGAAGCTGGCTGGGGATGTAGTCCTTACCTTAGTAAGGAACCTGACTGTCCCTCCAGATGATGGTCCTGAAGCTTAGGTGACCCTGGGGACAGTAAGGATGTAGGAGGACCTCAGAGAGCGGGGACCTATGGGACAACTGGCCAAGCCACTAGAAAGAAGGGTGGGTGGCACAGTGGTCACAGGAGACAGAGGCGAGGGTGCAGTTGCTGGCTGAATGCCCCCTGCAGTCACATTGCAGTTGGGGACGAGATCCCTATCTGGGTCCACCCCAGCTCTGAGAGTCCAGGCTTGGCGAGGATGATCGTTTCTGTGCTTTGATCATTGCTCCAAGCACACGTAAGGCACACAGATGTACATGCGTATAGTGTGATTTTTTTCCCCCAACATTCTTTTAAGGACAATTTTCAACTATTCTGAAAAGTTAAAAGCTCTTAATGTAGACACCCATATTCCCACCACCTAGATTCTGTGATTAACGTTTTACTGTACTTGTTTTTCACATACTTGTCCATCTGTTCCTCCATCTACCCATCAATCCATCTTATTTTTTTCATACAATTCAAAGGAAGTTGCCAACCTGTAGACTGACTCACAGTTTAGTCATATAGAATATAAAAATGAAACCAGGAGGGGCTGGGAGTGTTGATTAAACTTGGGCCAGGTTCATTTATAAATATTTCATTTGAACGATTGTGACGGCTTTCTCTGAAGTCAGCACGCATCCCTTGTTCATGACTGAGGAAGCCCAAGAGTGGAGTCTGCGAGCATCTTGCTCATTTGTATACATCAGTGGCAAAACTACACAGAGGCCAGGTAGCTTAGACCCCAGGTGACATTTCCCTATGGTCTCAGCACACTACCCCTGACTAGCCTTGCTGCCTGTGAACAGTCTCAGGACTTGTTCACAGCACTAAGGAGCATTGTCCCGAGTGCCCAGCCATACACCTGAGACTAGAAGCTACAAATTGGAGAGGTGGTGTGGGGATTGGGGGTGGAAGTGCCATAAGACACAGGGATGTCAGGGAAAAGTGATGGTTGACATCTCAGCTGCAACAGGAAAGAGCTGGACACACCCAGGACCACGGGGCACAGCAGGGGGCCCTGAGATAGAGGAGGCCTGCAAGTGACCCCTGCTTACTGGGGCCCCAGTGATAGTGACATCCATAGTGATGGCCCTGAGAGGTCTTAAAGAGTCAAAGTTTTTCATGTGTTTTGCTTCATGGGGTCAGTTTTAAAAATGTTTCCACTGGCAGAGTTATAGAGGTGCACAGGTTGGCGGCATGACAAGCCTCATCCTCACACTTAGACCCCTGCCCCATGAGGCTGTTGAAGTGGGAGCGGGTACTTCACTTTCTCTTTCATCGGGTCAAGAGTTTTCTTGGTTGATTAATCACTAAGGACATAAGCCTCGTTTCCCTTTGGTTTCTTGAAGATAAAAGCATTTCAGGGCAGCTTCACATTCCTGTCAGCTGACAGGCTCATCTGTGGCTCCCCTCTGGATGGTGGAGGCCACTTGCCCCCTCGGCCCATCTCCACATCCGCAGTTGTGCTGTTATGCCTGTGCCTCCCACCCTGACTCCTGAGTGCAAATGAAAGCCTGAAAGTGCTCTGTGAAACATCAGACGACGCGCTGCTGAATTTCCATGCCACAAGCATTGCATGTCAGGGAGGGTCTTGAAAGGAAAGGATCTGTTTTGTTTGCATTTTGAGACATTTGGTTGTCCCACTGACCATCTCCACCAGGCTTCCTCGTCACAACCACAGAACACAGAACATGATTTGAGCAGTGTTTCCACTTCCCCCAAGGATGGCGTAGCTAGGAGTGAAGGTGCAGGTGCCATAGGCCAGCAGTTCTCCAGCTGTGGTCGGCCTGGGCCCACAGCCAGCAGCATGTGCTGCTTCCGATGCTCGTGTGGGAGAACCAGCCACCAACCTGTAAATGATTGGAATAGATTTGGTTTGGAATATAAATTCTCCAAGTTAAAATAGACATTAGGAAAACAAAGGGCAAAAGTGCCACTCACACTTTGCAAGCATGACGCTCCTAGTGGGCCCTGGCCAGACCTAGAAAATGAGCACGGTGCTGCCTTGCGGGGCATTGTCTTGGAGTCCTGCGGCGAAGGTACCTGTCAGGTCCCCTCTGACCTGGGCAGTCAGCATCACCCCCTGCCTGTGGGAGCCTAAATCCCAGCTCACTACCTTCATGCTTCTGACCAGGGCTTTGTTTTCTCTCAGAGAGAACTTGAACATTGCTAACAACACACTGTCCGCTGCCTGTGCCATGGACTTTGTCCTACCCGGTCATGCAGAGAGAGTCTTGCTGAGAGTAGGAGGAGGCAGGAGACTCTTTTACATAGAGATGTATTATTTTACAAAGACCCTTAAACTCTAGTTTTGACCATCAGAGTAGCGGAGGTCATGTGGGTAACAAAGGACATCTCGGGAACACTGCAGTCAGCTTGTGCATGTGTCTCCCCCGAGTGTTAGAGAAATAGCCTCCACTGTCCGAGAAGAGGTGCCCATAGGGTGAGGGCAGAGCCAGGCCCCTTCAAAGGGCTCTGGTGCCCCAGCCCCAGTGTGTCCATTGAAATGGCCTTTGTTCAAGAGGGTTTTTTTCCCCTCTGTTTTTTCACTTTTCTGTTTTCATAATGCTGCTGCTAATGATGATGTTTTAATGTGATTCATTCTTGTCACTTTTCCATTTTTGTGATGCTACTGATGTTTTCACATGGTTCATTCTTAACTCATAGGTCTGTCTGTTTGTGTTTTAATAGGACAAGGGCTCAGAGGACTGGACGTGCTCAGACATCGGTGTTCTTCTTCCCAGTTCTTGACCCCTGGTCCTGTCTCCAGCCCATCTCGGCTTATCCACTTTGACTCCTTCGAGCCGTTCGGAGGGGCAATTTCTGGTAGTTGTGGCTTTATGCTTTCAAAGAATTCCTTCAGTCCAGAGAATTACTCCTGGCAGCCCTGTGTGTGTCACCCATAGGTGACCTGCGGCAGTATGTACTTTCAGTGCACCTACTGCATACCGTTGCTTTAGTCACTAATCGCTTTCTGGTTTAAAAGATGCAGTGGTTCCTCCCTCTCCTGAATCCTTTCCTACATGACGCCCTGCTGGCCCGTGCAGCCACACTGGAGAGACTCTTTCCAGATTGTTTTGAGTCACTGGCATCTCACTATGTGATAGGGAAGGCTACTACCTAGGGCACTTTAAGTCAGTGACAGCCCCTTATTTGCACTTCACCTTTGACCATAACTCTTTCCCCAGAGCAGAAGCTTGTGGAAATACCTTGGATGACGTTGCTACCTGCAGCAAGTGCTTCTGTCTGGGGAGTCCTTCGGGAGCACTTGTCAGCGTCTTTCCTCATGTCATACGATCACTAACATATTTAAGGTATGCACTATTCGCCCAGCTTTTAGAAAATCCGATCGTTTTTCTAAAAGGAAGTACTGCACTCAGTGATGTCATAACACTGGCCACAACGTGTCATGTGCAGTACTTAGTGTTTGCAATACTTACACAAAAAGATTTAAAGTGGCAGCTATACTCATTTGGTGAAAGATATACAGAGGTCACAGCCCCGAGCTGTGGGAAGTTTCTGGGCTTGTCCCAGAGTGGAGCACCACATGCCTCCAAGCCACTGCACACCTCTGCGGTTCAGTAACCACATCTGATGCCTGGGGATTTAGCAGAGGGGAACACTGCGTCTTTCAGTGAGAAAGTGTACAGTTCTTTTTCCTTCTACAGCATGTCAGCATCTCAAGTTCATTTTTCAACCTACGATATAACAATTTGTAATAAAGCCTTCACGAGCTCACAACATGAAGCACTGTTCTAAGTACTCTCAAATGTTTCTGATACTGCTGAGTCAGAAAAGCTAGCACTAAGTCACGATGGAGCTCTCTCCGTATTTTCTCATCTCTGAGTGTCTGTTCTGCCGCTGTGCGCTGTGGAGTTGACCCAGCGTTCTGTCCCAGTGCGGTGCCTCCTCTCGACTCCCCCACTGCTCTCTGTGCTGAGAATTTTGCCTTGTTCAGTAATTACTGTACCCTCGCATGACTGTTACAGCTTTCTGTGCAGAGATGACTGTCCAAGTGCCACACACCTATGATTGAAATGAAAAATCTGTTGTTACCTCTGAGTTGTATTCCATGAAAAATGCTATCCAGCAGCTCATTTAGGAAAAATTCTATTTTTAGCTTTTCATTTCTCAGCTGTCCTTTTCTTGTTTGACTTTTGACAGCAGTGGAGAATGGGTTATATAAAGACTGCCTGCTAATATGAACAGAAATGCATTTGTAATTCATGAAAATAAATGTACCTCTTCTATCTTCACATTCATGTTAAGATTTTAGTGTCGATTTCCTCTGGATTGGCGTGTCTGAACGGACAGTCAGGTTCAGTTTGTGCTTAACACAGACATGCTCGTGGGCCTCACTTTGCCGCTCTCAGCTCTGCCCCAGCACTTTGGTTTTACATAAGATGATTTAGAAACGTGTTTCCGTAGGGTCCTTTTCTCCTCTGCACAGGCAGAGAATAAATTCTGTCATGTTCCTTTATATTCAAATCATGGTTCTTAAATATTCTGTCAAACCCTGATAAAGAAGTCCAAACGTCCCAGGCTGGATTCTCTGGTTCTCTATAGAGGGTATGCCCATGTGCCTCAGAGCTGCTACTGGGCAGGGCCACCCCGCAGCGCCTGGCCCACGCCACCTGCACAGGGTACTGGTGCTCACACCACATGGGGCTGAAGAAGGATGGCTGATTCATCCTCAGCCATGAGAACTACATCTCAGTTCTTGCCCTAAAATACATTGTTTCTCTTCTGCGCTCAAAGAGCTGCTGTGTAAAGGCCCACACAGCGTGGACAGGAGACAGATGTGACTGTTATGTGATACATTGATAAGTCAGTTCTCTTTTTTTTTTCTTTTTTTTTTAAATCCTTTCCCACAGGAGAGGGAGCAGTTCTAATTTTTAAAAGAACATTGACAGTTTTATTACTTTTGTTTTTTTGTACTTTTAAATGGAATGGTAGTATTATTATGAGGCTAATTTACAGTCTTCTTCTAATTAGAAAAACACAGCTTTGGCTACTAATAGCTGGGGACTGTGAGCTCTTTCCTATCCCCCTTGCTGGTACTGTGGAGTCAGGTTGGCATGAAACCACTAACTGCATTCTAGAATTACTGTAGCCATAGTTGTGTGCTTTTTGTTGATCATGCCAAACATATTTTAACAGCTCAGAGAATTGTCATAACCAAGAAACCTATGAGAAGTACTAGTTGTTATGTGTGATGGACTCATCATTTTGGCTCTCCTTACATTTGTAAAAATGTACAGATTAGGTCATCTAAATTTATCCTGTTGATACCTCCATTATCAGTGTGCTCAAATAAGCTTTCAGACTAATGGATTTTTTGGTGTCTTAAAAATATAAGCAAAAAATTCCTGTTAAACATTCCAGTCCATTCATTCAGTATGAAACAAATACCTAATAAGCCAGTGGGATCGGTTTGCGAGAACACAGCATGAGGACTCTCTTCTGACACAAGTCTTCAAAGCTGGCAGAGACATGCAGACTGTTGTGGCATCTCAGTGGCAGAATTCCATTCTTCTGTATATGCAGTACACAGGACAAAGTGTGTTCACACTCATTCACCCTCGTTCCTTCTGCTTTCAGGCACAGGCAGTGGGTGTAGAAGTAGCTGGTAGCTTTGAGAAGCTACTTGTGGCTTGCCAGTGGTTGTCTCTAAGGAATCGGAGGTCCACTGCCCACGCCGCTTGCCACGTCATATGCACACCATTCAGAGGAGACTGTTTGTCTTCATTTGCTTATGCATTAATATGGTTTTTAAATTGGTAACTTTTATATAGTATGGTAACGGTATATTAGTACACGCATACATATGCACACATGCTTTGGGTCCTTCCATAATACTTTTATATTTGTAAATCAATGTTTTGGAGCAATCCCAAGTTTAAGGGAAATATTTTTGTAAATGTAGTGGTTTTGAAAATCTGAGCAATCCTTTTGCTTATGTGTTTTTAAAGCATTTGTGCTTTAAAATTGTGATGCCAGTGTTTGAAACATGATACTCCTGTAGTGCAGATGAGAAGCTGTAACAGTAAATACGTGGTTTCTCTTATTGTCACCCACCTCGACACAATGGACAGGAAACGCATGGGAATCCATAGCGAATCTGCTAGGGCTGCACCAGGTTTTCCTGATGCTTGTTGCCCTTTTTTGCGCTGTTTATCCGTGTAGAGCACTCAAGAAAGTTCTGAAACCGCTTTGTATCTGCTTTGTACTGTTGGTGCCTTCTTGGTATTGTACCCCAAAATTCTGCATAGATTATTTAGTATAATGGTTAGTTTTAAAAAAATGTTAAAGGAAGATTTTATTAAGAATCCGAATGTTTATTCATTATATTGTTACAATTTAACATTCGTTTGTGGTATTTGTGATTTGGTTAATCTGTATAAAAATTGTAAGTAGAAAGGTTTATATTTCATCTTAATTCTTTTGATGTTGTAAGCGTACTTTTTAAAAGATGGATTATTTGAATGTTTATGGCACCTGACTTGTAAGAAAAAAACCTACAAGAAAAACCTTAGAATCATTAAATTGTGTCCCTGTATTACCAAACTAGCATACTACTGTGCATGTATAGTTTAATTGCAGTTTCACGTGTGGAAGTATGAAATCGTCCAGTCCTTTTTTACAGCGTTTTCCAAATCAGTATGTCTTCCTAACTTGGCTGTGCTTATAATGATTTGTGATGGGAACGTAGGCTGTTCCTCCCGAGTTAAAGGGGGATTTCGTGCTCCATTGGGTTTCCAGGTGCCTCTTCAGCCCTCTGGGTGTAGGGGACGAAGGCAGTGCCCATGTCCATTTCTCCTCGTCCTCTTGAATTTCAGCAACCCTGCTGCTGGGGAGATGTCACAGGCAGCCCCTCTTTTCAGACCAAGAAGTTGTGGATATATTAGGGACTCTTGGACGTTTGGTTCTTGTCAATATTGGGCATTAAGCAGTGACTTATTTACAAGACAAAGGATATTGGAAAATGTTTTTGATGTGATGTTACAGAAAGAGCACAGGCTTTGGACCCATAAAACTGGGCCTCTGCTCATGACTGCAGCTGGCTTTGGGCCTGTCACTCTGTGCCTCTCCGCTTCAGGCTTCAGCTGTAACATGGAACCAATATTACTTGCCTCGCATGTGGTAAAAATTGCAAAAATATTTCAAGTGTTTAGTGTAGCACCTCAAAGCAAGTACTCAGTGAATAGCAAGTCTTCCTAAATGCTTTCTTACTTCATTAAATTTTGTTGTAAGGTGTCACTAAAATGTCTGCTAATTGAAATAACTGCTTTCTGTTAATCTGAGAGAGGCAAACCTCTCCTGTCAGAAACTTTGTGCAGCAGAATGAGCTGCTCCTGCCTAAACGGGAAGCGTTCGAGGGGGTATCCAAAACACCTGTGGGACATTCTTCGCTTTCTCCTGAGAGACGAGCACTTCAGTGTGGCCCCGCCCCTGTAGAGAGCGACTAAATAGCCATCCCCCCATTCCGCGTAGGGGTCTGATTGTCGCACTCCCCACTTTATGGCGGGCTCCTCACCTGAGCAGTAGCACAGCCGCTGCGGGGCACTGGGGCCAGCGTCTAGGCCGGCAGGCCCGCTGCGTGTGTTCGTAGCCGGCGTGTCGGGCTGAGCAGTGGGCGCGCTGGGCCATGCAAGGTGGAGGCAGTCGGGAGGCACAGAGGAAGGGGCAGCCAGAGAGGAGCCATGAAGGGCCAGGTGTCACAGGGATGGGTTTGCATGTCCCTGGGTCTGTGAGGAAGGAGGCAGCTGAGGGATGACGGGCCCAAGGGGTAGGGCAGTAGGGTCCAGACGGACATGGGACTCTTCCTCTGAGCCTGGCACCAAGGACAGCCAACAACGAAGTCATTGTCCAGCTGGAGAGGACGTCGGGGGAGGTCGTGCCTGGTGACACATCTTTTTCAGGTCAAGGTAGGAGACAAGGGCTCTGCTGAGGGTGAAGAACTCCCCTGAAAGCTGTAATGAGAGGACTGCCTCCCACCAGGGGGGCCTGTGGCACTGCACTAGGACATTGTTCTCCCACCCTGCAGGTCACGTTAGCCGCACTGGCCAAACAGAGGACTGCGGGGACGAGGAGAAGGAGTGAGAGCATGGGGCTGGGTGCAGGGCCACTGAGCGATGTGGGCGACAGTGGTCAGGTTCCCATCGTGTCCACACTCAGTGGAGCAGCTCTTGGCATCTCGAGCCTGGACTGTGTCCACAGCAGAAAGCCTTCAGGGTAGGGCTGTCCGAAGAGCTGTGAAGCCCTGGTGGGTAGTGACTGGGTAAGCTGGGGCAGGAGCCAGGAGGGAGGGAAGAGACCCTGTCCAGTTCCAGCTGCAGATCACCCAGTGGAAGACACCAATCCTATGGGTTTCCTTTTGCTGGACTTCATACTGACTGATCTGTTCTCAAACCAGTCCAGCCAAACACAGAGTTCCTGCCATACGCCCGGCAAAGCCAGAAGCTGGGACTACAAAGGGACAGTCTCCATCTTCAAGAAATCCCTAAAGTTTCAGGTCTCTGAGGGGAGGGAAAGCACCTGCCAGCCATGTGAATGCCAGGAAGACCAATGTCCAGTACCTTCATGGTGGTATTTCGGGGGTGGGAGGGTCCGCACTGTGTGCATTTAAAAGCTGAAAGAGGGTAGCCAGGTGCGATGGCTCACGCCTGTAATCCTAGCACTTTGGGAGGCTGAGGCAGGAGGATTGCTCAAGGTCAGGAGTTCAAAACCAGCCTGAGCAAGAGCGAGACCCTGTCTCTACTAAAAAATAAAAAGAAATTAGCTGGACAACTAAAAATATATGTAGAAAAAATTAGCCGGGCATGGTGGCGCATGCCTGTAGTGCCAGTTACTCGGGAGGCTGAGGCAGGAGGATTGCTTGAGCCCAGGAGTTTGAGGTTGCTGTGAGCTAGACTGACATCACAGCACTCAAACTAGGGCAACAGAGTGAGACACTATCTCAAAAAAAAAATTAAAAATAAAAGCTGAATGATTACAACAGGAATGTGAAAAGTAGTGATCCTCCATTAGGAAGCTAAGCTTTGTTTCCTCCCAAGAGGATCAGAAAGACCATGTTGGTCATTGTCACTTCCCTCCACTGACAGCCACCGAGTGCTGTTAAGTGCACAGAAAATAGGCAGGAGCCCATTTGGAAGTGAAAGGCATCTCAGTCACCGGTGCCCAGCAGACTCTTTCCTGTTTCCTTTTGCCCTGCATGCTCCATTCCAATTTCTTCTTTCCAAAGTTGAGATTTTGGGGGAGTTCTTTGTATAATAATGTCCTGCATCCACAAGTTGGGCCTAGAAATGCTCTCCCTGTGGCTAACCGGAAGCATGACACTGTCCCAGGTCTGGACTTTGAGCTGTGGTACACTGGGCTGCGTCCCAGGCATGGGAAGCCCGGCTGTTTCTGCACAATGGTGCCGAGCAGCCGTGCTGTGGACACACAGGCTTGGGGGAGAAATGTGGGAATCCTAGCACTGGGTGCAGGAAGCACCTGATTGGTTGTGAGCCGGGGAGGATCCCTCCAGATTTCTTAGCCAGGAGGAGCAAGGGCGCCAAAACCCCTTTGGTTTGGTAAGACCAGGCGCTTGACAGCTGAGGGAATGGGTGGGAGCTGGGGTGCCCAGTGTGTGAAGGAGGAGGGCCCTGGGTGAGGCGCGGGAGAAAGACTTGCACAGCTTTCCGTGCACCCAGGGGCCCCTGGCCGGCTCTGAGGCCTTCATGAAGAGTTAGGCAGGGACCCAGTGGCCATGTCACTGTTGCCTTCAATTTGTGCCCACTTTTTTTCTTTAATCCCAGAGAGGCTCTTACTTCCTTTCCAAAGCCGCCACTACTACCTTTAAAATACTAAAGTGTTCCCATGGGCATGGGGAACCTGCTAGACTTTATGGACTAGAAAAACGTGGATTTTCTGAGATGAAACCAACCACTCCCAGGAGGAGGGGACACTGAAGAGACCACAGGGCGGGACCCACAGTGGGGCCACAGGCAGCCAAGCACCAAGAGCCAATGCTGATTGCTTTTCTGGGATTGTTTTGTTTTTTAAATTACTTTGGAAAGTCATTTTGCTGCACATACACATCCCGTAAAGCAGCAATTTTCAAATGCTTTTATCACTGGTGCCCTTTCATGATGTGAAATTGGCAGGAGTTTACCTTCTCTGAATAAGGGGGCAGGGGGCTGTCTGCCACTGAACAGCACAGTGTGTCAGCCATTAGAGGAAACAAGGGATGGTGGGGACTGAAGAGAGGAGTAGATGTCATAGAAGACTGAGTGAATAAACAGACAAGGCCACAGATGACCGTTAACACCTCCACAGGGGACGGGGAGAGCCAGCAGCATGGGAGTCACTGTTAGGTCAGTGGCTTGGGTAAGGTCATCCTGCCATTTAAAAGTATAGAAAGAAGCTGTGTGCAGTGGCTAACACCTGTAATCCCAGCACTCTGGGAGGTTGAGGCAGGAGGAGGATCACTTAAGGCCAGGAGTGCGAGACCAGCCTGAGCAACTTAATAAGACCCTGTTTCTACAAAAAAAAAATTGTAATTGGCTGGGCGTGGTAGCACATCTCATACAGTCCCAGCTACTCGGGAGGCTGAGGCAGGAGGATCACTTGAGCGCAGTAGTTAGAGGTTGCTGTGAGCTGTGATTGCACCACTGCACTCAAGCCTGGGTGACAGCAAGACCCTGTCTCTCAAAAAAAAAGGATTGGAAGAATTATTAAGACCACTGGAGAAGTCTTACAGATGATGGAGAGGCAGGCAATAGATGATAAGAAAGATACATTTGAGAATCTAAAAAGATGCTTAATTAAAGATTATTCAGTCAAAAGAAAAAAAGATGAACTTGTAAGGCAGTGAGTATTGCAGTAGGTGAAACAAACAGGCTGCCCTCCTGGCACTGATAATGTGCAGGGAAGTCAGGCATCAGTTAATGTAATTAATATGAAGAAGTTAAAACTATAAATGGAAGTGCTTGAAAGAGAACAGATGCAGGAGGGAGAGAGACACTGACCCCCGCAGTATTGGAAAAGGCACTGTCACTGCTAGCTTGAAAACAAAACTCCACAAATGGCAACGGCAGCTGCCTCATTTTTGAATGTGTTTCAGCTAGGAAGGAAATGCTGGGCGACGCGGATTTCAGACAGGAGAAAGTCACACTGTCAGGGAAGGACGCCACAGCAGGAAGGCGCCAGGGGACTGACACCGGGACTTGGTGGCGTGCTCAGCCACTGGAAGTGGGGACGGGAGCGCAGCGTTTAAAGGGTGTGTGCTGAGGGGGACGCTCAGGGCAGCAGTTGGAGCTCAAAGTGAGCTCCCTGAGAAGATGCCAGGCTCTGTGTGCAACGTGCAGACGGCACAAAGAACATTTCAGTGAAATAGGAAGGGGAAAGCAGATGACATCATGACAGAAGAGAAGACAATGCCTCAGCCCGTCTTGCTCTGTCTCCGACAGGTGGTGAGGGCTGGGGGCTGAGCAAGCTGCCAGTGCTGGCCTCAGCCCTGGGGTCCCTTGGGGCCCCAGCTCGACCTCTGGGGTACGCTCTAAGGGCGATCCACAGTTGACTGGATCTTCTC